TAGCCCCTTCCAAAGTCCTGGGAAAGGCCCTCAGCAAGGTGTTTCTATGGCCATGGGTTTTTGTAAGATTCAAAAAAGACATTTTAGTTGCAATCTGTTAAGACCTGCTGTTCCTTCCACCCCAACTTTGCCTCTGTCACTATCCCCTAGCTTTGGAAGGGCTGTTTACATTTTTGGGATTCAGTTACTGAGTTGGAGACACATTTGGTTTGGGCTTATTGGGACATATTCCTGTTACTTGCGTTATTTCTGTCTCTATTTAAGTGACTAGCAGCCAACTTGGTGCAGGTGTGGCTTCAAGCTGTACTGCCGTCCCCGCTCCCTGGCTTGCCAGGCGTCTAGAGGCAAAGGAGCAGGAGGGTTACAACAGCAATGTGAACGTGTCCTATGGCGCCTAGTGCTGGATGTGTGTGGGTAGTGGAGAAGAGACCAGGTTTGAAATATAAGGAGCCAGAAGCTGGTTTGTGGAAAAGTCATTATCAGATGTGTTAAACTCTAAGCTGAGAGTTTGGTTTTCAGTAGTCAAAACAGAAGTTCTCTACTGTTAGAAAAATAATAGAAAATGTAGCAAATACAATTATAAACGTGTCATAGATTTTTTTTTTTTTTAAACAGAGTTGTGCAGAATAGAATTTATCAAAATTCCTGCTTTTCTAGGACACAAACCTGTAACAGTACTAGAAAGAGCAATAGGTCTACATGGTAAATTGCATGTTTTGTGCATCCCAACTATCAGTAATAGAAAAAAGAACAAATTTTAATCACCATGCTAGAGGAACCACTGAATACCTTCTATTCTCTCACTGTCATATGAAGAGGCAATTAAAAACTACACAGCAAAAACATCACAGGAAAAAAGTATTATAGAGGTGTGTCAGACAATTAACACAAAAATGTGCTGCTTTTCTGGATTTAGTAATGTTCTTATCACTGGTCGGCTTTTTCAAATATATAATTTACTTACTTTTCCTCATTCTAAATAAATATCACTTTCCAAATTAGTTTTTATTTATAACTTTGTATTCTTTTTCTTAAATAGATGCCCTCTCCAAATTGTATAAGCTTCATGCCCCATAAAACTGGCCTGGATAGAATTTAATTCATTTATTCAAACATCTATGGAGCACCTATTCTGTATTAAGCAATTCTAAGTGCTTAGGGATACAGGAGCTTATACGGGATTACAGTGGGAGGAGACAAAGAAGGTAGTATGTTCAACGGTGGTGAGTGCTATGGAGAAAAATAAAGCAAGGCAGGCAGACAGGAATTTGGGGCAGGTGGAGGGTTTATTGCTTCAAATATGGCATCAGGTAAGCCTCCACGAGAAGAGGGAATGAGTCAGGCCTGAGGAAGGTTCTGGTACACATTGCCACAGCTCTCAGTTCCCGAGTGGTCACCACATGCCTGGCGGGCACATGCCACACCCTTCACTTACAAGAGCTCCTCTATCCTCACCACAACCTTGTGGGGTTGGTATGAACCCATTCTACAGATAAGGGACTCCAGCTCAGAAAGGTTAAGAAATTTGCTGGCAGTCACTTAGTTAATGAAGGAAGTAGTGAGAATTCCAGCACTGATCAGCCAGTAGCCATACCCCCATCCTGATTCCGTAGTGAGCTCTCCTCTCTTTGATGGTTTAAGGGATCAAGCAGCCTTACCTCCACCCTGACTCTGTGGTGTGCTGACTCTGGTGAGGCTGAAGGGACCACGGCGTGCCAAGCACAAGGCATGAGAAGGCAGTTTAACTACAGAAGGCACACATGTAGCAAGCAGCACCATCTACCCCTACCGCAGCAGAGGGTGGAAAGTACTGAGGTAACAGTGAAGAAAGGGCTTCCAGGCCGACCCAGGTGGGCCCTGAAGGGTGAGCCGGAGCTTCCAGATGACAGTGAGTGGTATGCACACAGGCATGGACTCTGGAAACTGCAGGAGCAGCTGAGAGAGAGGAAATGCTGTGAGAGGCTGGGACTCTGACGATGCCCAGAGAGGTGCTGGGATGCGGCCTGGGGGTGGGCTGTGACGGATCCTGGGGCCAACCTAAGAGATCTGGACGAATCGCACACAGAAGGAGGTTCTGCAGCTGGGATGTGACATGATCAAATTTTTATTTTGTGAAACAAAATGGAGAATGAGCTGGGGAGGGGAGAGATGGGATGAAGGAAGATTCACCATTGCATCCCACAAGATTATAGTACATTTTTGCTTTTGAACTTTAAATTGACTATAAATTAAAGTACCAGTTTTGGGGAAAACAATTCCATGACTCTAAAACACAAACTGCTTATATCACTTCCTCCTGATCCTTGTCCACATCCTCATGCATTCTGACAACACTAATTCATGTGCACACACTGTTTTGCTTTTTCAGTTAAGGTACATTTTAAAAGCGTATTTCCATGGATCAAAATGGTTCAGATTTTGCTTGGAGGAGTCTATGAATGGGATTGCCAAAGCTTTTTTACTAGCAGTGGAGTACTCTACCATATTGACACAACAGGGCTTGTGCATCAAACTGTTTTCAAAAGCAAGATTTCAAAATCAGAGTATTGTAGTTCTCTATCACACACTACTGGCTGCTCTCCAAAAAGATTAGATCAATTTAAAGATTAGCCCAATTTACAGACTCATCACCAATTAACTGCTCCCCAGAAACACACCTAGCACCGGGTTTGATCATACTAAGTTTTGCGGGACCCTCGACTTTTCAACTCACTGTTGCATCTGCCATGGTAAAACCCCAGAGTTGAGAAATACGAAGCTGATTCTAGAGTCCAGTAACGCACTCCACACTCCAATCTCAGAGAAGAGGACCCAAGCCACCCTAGCATGGCACTGAAGCTGATGGATGGGGTTTTCCCATTTCTTTCCTTGCACACATAGCACCATGCTGTGTGCAGGAAAAATACCAACAAAGCTGAAAGGATAAGCAGCAGTAAGACAACTCTACTACTGTCTGGGTATAGAGGAAGTGTTGATGTGACTCAAAGCAGCGGTGTTTGGAAAGAAAGGAGAAAAGAGAATTCCTTGGGGCCATATGGATTTAAATGCGCATGTATGGAATTATTCATACATGAATCTTTGCTTTGGCAATCCAGTTAACATACTTCCCTCCAAGCAGAATAACCCTGCTTCATTATTGCATAATTCTCTCTTCTCTTTGTGTAAACACCCAGGCCAGGCTAGTTCTGCTGTGTACTCAGACAGTACTTGTACCTCGATAATAATTGGTGATCTGCTTCTGAAAGGTCACAGCCTAGAAAACCTATGGAGTACAGTTCTACTCAGCACACATTGGGTCCCCATGAGTTAGAAGTTACTCGAGAACAGCTAATAACAACAAAACACTTATTAGCCACTTACTGTATGCCAGGCATCCTGCTAACAGCTCTTCTATTGGCTGTGAGTCCTCACAACAACCTATTAGGTAGGTAAATTCTTAACCCCATTATATGTATAAAGAACCTGAGGCAGATACCTTAATATGACTTACATCATTTTCCTCTTTTGGAAAGGAATTAGTACAGAAGAAGCTAAAGGTCATTTATGCAATAAGCCAGCAAAGTCTGCAGTTCAGGACACGGCCCAGTCAGCATCTAGTTCAAACACCTTCTTGTGAATGCTCAATCAAGCACAGGCGAAACTCAGGCAGATGACTGGCTTTGCAAACACCCCAAGGTGTGATCCTAAACCAGTCCTTCCACTTCCTTGAGCCTCCCTCGCCTCTCTTTAAAATGGGTCTAGTGACCTCACCCGTCTCTCCTCTCAGGCTTTGTGAGATGGAGTGAAATAGTAGCATGAGGTGCTTCACAGACACAGGAGCTCACAATCTCACAAAAAAGTTTCAAAAAGCAGCAGATACAGAAAATTAAAATTATACGTGGCCTTCCTGCTTCTGGTCTTGGCCCAGCTCTCTGCTGTCATACAGTGCACACACTCAGCACTTGAACAGAGTGCAAAGGGATGTTGTCACACGTCCCACAGCGGTCTCTCCAAACACATCCCGTGGGAACAAAGCACCTTTAAGGCCTTCACCCTGGGTCTGACATCCCTGCACCCTTTCTCTACACCCTGCAGCTACGGTATCTCCTTCAAGGGGCTGGTCCTGTCGTCTGCTTCTCACACAACTCCAGCTGCTCTAGGTCCCATTCCCACCCTCTCCTGGGAAGGCCCCCCACGCCTCAGAACTAAAAGCACTGACTCAACATCCAGTCTCCACCACCTTCAAGACGCCATTTAAGAAAAGGCACCAGGAGGGCACACAGGGACTGACGGGACCCCCGCCATCCCCTCGGCAGGGCCACGCGGGACGCCTGCCCTCCCTTCGGCTGGCCCCACGCGGGACCCCCACCTCCCCTCAGCCTTCCCCACGCGGGACCCACCACCTCCCCTCAGCTGGCCCCACGCGGGACCCCCGCGTCCCCTCAACCTTCCCCACGCGGGGCCCCTGCCTCCCCTCAGAGGGCCCACGTGGGACCCCCCACCTCCCTTCAGCCTTCTCCACGCGGGACCCCGCCTCCCCTCAGCTGGCCCCACGCGGAACCCCCGCCTCCCCTCAGCTGGCCCGACGCCGAACCCCCACCTCCTCTCAGCCTTCCCCACGTGGGACCCCCGCCTCCCCTCAGCCTTCCCCACG